GGTAAGAGCGGGCGGGAGCCGCCCCGCCCCCTCCGCCGGCGGTTCCGCGGCCGCTGGGCTTGGCGCCGAGCTGGGAGCCATGTCGGAGTGGGTGTCCTATTACCGGAGCGAGCGGCCGGAGGAGGAGGAGGAGGACGAGCAGCAGCAGCAGGACGAGGGGACGGAGGCGGTCGGTAAGGGCCCACTGCCCCCTCACGGAGGGCAGCCCGGCGCCCGCTGTCCTCGGGGGTCAGCGGGCCGAGGGGACCGCTGCTAAAACAGCTTTCCCCCCTTTCCGTAGCGGACTACAGGTTCTCGGGTCGGGACAGCCTCATTTTCTTAGTCGATGCTTCCAAGGCCATGTTTGAGGCCGTCGGGGACGAAATGACTCCCTTTGACATGACCATCCAGGTAAGGCTGCTCGGGGAGCCTCGGAGTGGGTCGCAGGCCCTCCGGGGATCGCCCTCGGCCCCGCTGTCGGTGTGGCTACCGGGTCGTCGCTCCGCCTGGGCCGTTGGTGTGAGGTCACTGTGAGCCTGGAGCAGCGCAGATTGCTGAATGGCTGTGGGTTTGGAAAGACCTGCAGCCTGAGGGGCTGTGTCCAGAGTTTGGTGAGAGAAATGTTTATAGAATGAGCAATTAATCCGCATTCAGGGTGGTGTATTTAAGAAATGTTTATTTAATTGATCTTACTCGTAGAAAAGGAGTGGTAATGAAAAAATATCTAAGGCTGTGTACTGGAAAAGATCTCTCAAAAAAACAAGATCCCATTTTTTTTCTGTTGAAATTTAGCTTAAAGCGTTTGTTACAGTTCTACTACAGTTGTAGAGTCTACTTGTATGAACTGCTAATTGCCAAAGACAACTTTTGCACCCTTACTGCAAGTGCTTTTCTTCATATTTTGACCTGTGTGCATTTTTTTTTTCAGTGCATCCGAAATGTATATACCAGCAAAATTATTAGCAGTGACAGGGACCTGTTAAGTGTTGTATTCTATGGTACAGAAAAGAACAAGAACTTGGCAGATTTCAAGCACATCTATGTTCTTCAGGAGCTGGACAATCCAGGTAAAGGCAGTAAAGTGATATGAAGGTTATGTATAAAGATGGAATAAGGAAGTCTGTGAAGTAGCATTGTCAGTAACTCATCTCTGAAAACAGAGAGCTATAAGATAAAAAAGTTCCTGTTGCTGAGATGTGTCGGGGGGATATAGATTTAGAAATTTATTAAAAGCTTAGAAACTTAATAGGAACTTAGCTTTTTCTCTTATATTTTGTTCAGATCCCTTTCCTATGTCTTCTATTTTAACATGGTCTTTCACTTGCTGTCTGCTAAACCTAAGAAGATTTCAACAGAATTCTTGAAAGCCATCACATGTCTGCCGTGCTTCAGAAAAGTGCATGTACATGCTAATGCACTGCAGATTCCAGTTCATGTAGAATATCACAGAATGGTTGAGGTTGGATGGGATTTCTGGAAGTCATCTCGTCCAATTCTCCTGCTTAAGTGGGGTCAGCTAGAATGGGTTGTCCAGTATGTTAACCTGGTTGGAGTGTTCCATCTCTTATTTTCATACCAAGTTTTGCAATTCTGGAATTTAGCTCTTTCATTTTCTTAGAATTTCCTGGAATTACCAAGCATCTGCTCGATAACGAATGCCAGTTGCTGAATTGGAGAAGGTAGTAGGAGTGCAAAGAACGCATTCTAGTGCTGCCTTCTCTGACAGCGGAGGGTCTTGTCAGGGGGGGATTTTATTTACTGGCTGTTAATAGCAGCCTTTATCTCTGAGGAGGTTTGATTTAATTTTCTTAACTAGGAGGTGCGGGTTTAATAACACATGGGATCCTTTTGAAAGAACTGTGCCTTGTCCTAGTTTCAGAATTAATTACAACAGGGACCTGACAAGGCTGCCTGAGGTAGTTCTCCCTTTCTGACAGCAAGTGGCTTAGGCTTCTCACTCATCCTTTTTCCTCCTCCTTCTCTGCTTGCACTTTTCCCTGCATTAGAGGCAGTAGCTTTGCCATCCTGATAAAGACAGTGCAGGAGAAAGGTGGGTGTTGTTAAAAAGGAAGAGAACTGTATATTTGCTGCCCCCAGAGAGCAGTGTTGTCTAGAGAAGCAAGAAATACTATAGTTGGTTATTATGTAGTACATAATTATAATTATGAACTTATGCTTATTAATTAAGAGACAGCTGAGGAGATTAAAATAGTAAATGAAGGGGGAAGACATTTTCAGATGAGATTTCAAAAGTGCTATAGAATTTGAGTGAAGGAAGCAGCTCTGCAGAATGCAGTAACTGAAAAACGAAAACTTGTCTCTGTGGCATTATGGGAGAAAACAGAATTTGCTGTTTGTCAGGTGGAAAAAGCAGTCACAGTTGGGCTGGAGTAATCTGCAGAGCTTTAGAAGGGCTGTCAACATCTGCCGTGAATGTTGCTGTGCTCCACGTGGTGATCTGTGGGCTGCATCTGACATCTAGGTTGATTCTCTGACACCAGTGGCAAGGGAGCAGGAGGAATTACCCACCTTCCCAATGAGCCATGGAGATGCAGGATGTATTTTAGGCTTCTCTCCTTTCTCCAGTGGCGCAACAGTCTGCCGTGTCTCTGCGGCGGCTGCATTTGCTGCCTTTTCTACTGAAAACTTGTCCTTTCACTGTAGAGGGTTTGCAATACTTCAATCTCTGCCTGTTTCCTTTCTCCAACAGGAAAGGTCCTGCATTGGTGCCAGGGAACTTTGTGTCTTCTTGGCCTAGCAGGTGCTCTCAAGTGTTAACCAGTGTGCTATATTGCAAATGTGAGGCTATGCTGAACAATTTTCTTGGCCAGGTGTTGGAAGGGCACTGCCACAGAGGTCTGGTAGGGGACATTACTCAGATATCAGCTGCAAGGGACCCTTGGTGCATATTTAGGAAGAGTTTGTGGTACTTTTTTCTAATGCATGTGGATGCTGTTATCCCCCTTAGGTGCAAAGCGTGTTCTGGAGCTGGACCAATACAGGGGAGACGAAGGACGAGTGCTTTTCCGTGAGACCTTTGGCCACAATGCTGACTATTCTCTGGGTGAAGCACTCTGGGCCTGCTCTAATCTCTTCAGTGATGTCCGAGTCAGACTGAGCCACAAAAGGATCATGCTCTTCACCAATGAGGATGACCCTCATGCCAATGACAGTGCTAAAGCCAAGCTGGCCAGGACCAGAGCTGGTGATCTGAGAGACACAGGTCATTATTTTCTCCTTTAATTTCAGGCAGAATAAAAGTGACATATCCTTGCAACAGATGTTAACTGCATTGCAAGATTGTGATGGAAAAAGAATGTAAAAATCATCAGAACCGAGGAATCTTTCTGAAGCTTTCTAAATTAGAAATTTGCTATCTGATCTAATTTAGAAAATCTGTTATCCAATCTAGTATCCAAGAGCTAACATTTTCTAGCATTTTTTTTTCTACTCTGATAGCATAAATCAGAATTTGAAAGGGCTGTGGAAAAAACTCTACTTCATTATTCCACCGTTTTCGAGGAAGGGAATAATGACATTAAGTTAACACAAAAGAAGAATTACTTTAATGGCTCCATTTTGAATTAGCTGAAGAACAGCAACCTGAGCTCAGAGGCTAGAGAGCAAATGCTTCATTAGTTCAACTATGTAGCTAAGATAACCGTTGGTTTTGGAGTTAAGCAGATGTGCTGAATCTAGAAGCTGTGAGGCTTCCTTGATCTATTAGCCCTTATAACTGGGAAAGGGGAATTTCCGAACTCATTACTTCCCTCTATGCCTGATGTAAGATTATATGTTTTATAAGAGCTTGTCAGAGCTATTTCATGCACAATGCTGTCCAGATTCTTAGGGAGGAGGTGGTTTCTATGCCACATTGTTTTGACTGAAGTTGAAGAATGCCTTTTGCCTCTTTCCCTAGAAACTTTCACATCTGGTGTAGATGACAATTTGGAGTTTATTCTTCAATTCTTTACTTGGATAGAGAAATCTGCGAGTGCTGAGAAACATGCTGATGTAAGAAAAAAGCCATTTCTGTGATCCTCCTCCTATCTCTTACTTTGTTTCTAGGTATCATCTTGGACTTGATGCACTTGAAGAAGCCTGGAGGTTTTGATATCTCTTTGTTCTACAGGGATATCATAAACACAGCAGAGGATGAGGACCTTGGGATCCAACCTGAGGAGTCAAGGAAACTGGAACATCTCATGAAGAAAGTACGAGCAAAGGAGACCAAGAAACGGACTTTAGTCAGGTTTGTGCCTACTTAACGATATTTCATTCAATGGAGGCACCTGATATTATTTTTAGATCTCGCCTCCTTCTGCTGGAATGAGTGGTCTATACAGGCATCAGTGCTTACCTTCCTCAGTTACTTCCTTAGTTCAAGATTGCTGTTTCTTCCATAGGTTCCAAGGGTATTTGTCCTTGGTGGATGAGAAGAGTGGAGAGTGAAGCTTGGCCTTCTTTTTTCCTCTGTGTGACCTCTCCTCTATTGAGCTTGGCCAAAAATTATAATTTTTCAAGAAATTACATCATTGCCAAGTAAAATACAAAAAAATCTGCAACATGTAAAATGGTTAGTTTCTAGTGAAATCCTATTGAAGTGAGGCTTTTCTTACTAGTGTTAACTTAGAAAAATTTTATCTCGGTGTCACTGGTAGGTATTTTGGCATATTATTAAATAGTTATATGTGGCCAGTCTTGTCTGGGCACTTGGTGTTGATTCACACAGCCATGATATTTCTGATCTTGATTAGAAATACTTACAGAGAGATTAAAGGGATTTTGACAAAACAGATCAAAAGTATTTTTGTAATGACATACTCTATAACAGTTGCTTTTTAAATGAGCGAGTTCATGGCAGAATGATGTGGAAGCACAGCAAGGGATGAACTTTACAGCCTAGTGTTTTTTTAATATATATTAAAAAAAAAAATCCCAACCTGATCTGTTGTCACTGGCATT